GTCATTTGAACCAGTAATACTGAGCTCAGTGAACAACTGTTTGGTTTGGTCATCTTGTTGATAGCCTTCCAAAATGATTTCCAATCACTTAGGAGTGCGTGCAGAGATAGCAGCTAGAGATGAAGGCTTAGCTTGCCTGGAAAGAGCATCTGCAGCTTTGTTCTCCAAACCCTTCTTGACAGAATTTTGTACTGTAAGCCCAACAGCTTGATGAAAGCTTTTTGTTGCATACCCTCATGTAGCTTTTGCTCCCCAAGATGAATGAGGCTCTTGTGGTCGGTTGCAATCGTGAATTCCTTGTGCTAGAGGTAAGGCTTCCATTTTGTGATTACCATAATGAGTGCCATGCACTCCTTCTCATATGTTGAGAGTGCTTGAGCCTTGGGGCCAAGGGCCTTACTCAGGTAATCCACTGGGTGCTTGTCCTGAGATAGCATTGCATCAATACCAGTGGAGGAAGCGTCGGTCTCAACTGTGAAGGATTTGTGGAAGTTTGGTAAGGCGAGCACAGGTGCTGAAATGAGGGCTTGTTTCAAGTTGTCAAAGCATGTTTGCAGTTGCGGTGTCCAATGAAATAGAACATCCTTTTTTAATAGATCAGTAAGAGGTCGACTCAGAATACCATAATTTTTGATGAATTTTTTATAGTAGCCGGATAGACCGAGAAACCCTCGCAATTGCCTGGTATCTGATGGTGGGGGCCAGTTAGCAACGGCCTGAATTTTCTTGGGATCTGTCGCCACACCTTGTCCACTGTGACCAAGATATTCTAAAGTTTGTTGAGCAAAAGAACATTTGGACCTCTTAAGCAATAACTGATGATCATTGAGAATATTGAAGACTTGCTGCAGATGTTCCACATGAGCTTCTAGTGTGGGATTGTAAATGAGTATGTCATCAACGAAGACCAGTACACATTTCCTCAACAGTGGTTGGAAGATAGTGTTCATCAAGGCTTGAATGGTGGCTGGGGCATTTGTGAGCCCAAACGGCATTACTCTGAATTCCCAATGCCCATTGTGAGTACGGAAGGCTGTTTTTGCTTCATGTTCAGGAGCCAAACGAATTTGATGATAGCCTGATCATATGTCTAACTTGGTGAACCAAGCTGCTCCATTCAACTCGTCCAGAAGCTCATCGACAACCGGTAATGGGTACTTGTTTTTTATAGTGATATTGTTGAGTTTCTGATAATCAACACAAAAGCGCTAACTGTAGTCCTTCTTTTTGACCAAGATCACTGGGGATGCAAAAGGACTTTGGCTTGGCCTAATGATGCCATTGGAGAGCATTTCTTTGATCTGACGCTCGATCTCATCTTTCTGTGTCGGTGAGTATCTGTAAGGCTTGATATTGATAGGTTCACACCAGGTAACAGAGGGATCTGGTGATCAAACTCCTTGGACGGTGGCAAAGAGTCTAGGTCCCTAAAAAGATGAGCCTGACTGTCCACTAACTGTTGTATTGTCACAGGAATGTTGTCTGGAGCCAAAGGTGGTGTCACCTAACATAAGTGAATCAACTGAGCGATACCACCTTTCCTCATAAGGCCTTTTAACTTCCTTACTTTCACTTTGGGACAGCTGGATAAATTATCTTTGACCCCTTTAAGCTAATTCTTCTGCCCTGATAAGAAAACCTCAGCAATTTTCTTTTCCAGTGTATCCACATGGGACTGTGTTGTTCCAACCAGTCCATACCCAACACCATATCATAGTACGGCAAGGGCAGCACACGAGCATTAGTTGTGAACATGTGCCCCTGAGACCACCAACTGAAATTGAGGACCTGATGGGTGCTCTGAAGTTTATCGCCATTTGCCACTGTTACTTGAATGGGAGGAGCAGGCATCAAGCCATAGTTTAGCGCGGTAGCAGTTTTGTCGCTGATGAATGTGCAGGAGCTGCCTGAGTCAATGAGGATGAGCAGTTCTTGATTCTTGACTATGCCATGGAGCTTGATAGTTTTCTTGCCTGGAACGCTGACTGTTGCTGACTAAGACAGAGCAAACACAGCGTCATCTTCATCACTAGAATCTAAAGTATTTTGTTCAGGAGGGCTTTCATCTGAAATTAGCTCCATGAATTCTTCCAAGACGTGTAGAGACACTTTATCAGGGCACTTATGGTTGCGGCTCCATTTCTCGCCACACTTCATGCATAAGCCTTGAGCGCGTCGCTGAGATCGCAATGTTGCAAGCTTGCTTTCCACTTTGGCTTTGTATCTTCAGCTGGTGGGGCACCCAGAACACCAGGTGGTGCTGCTTGAGGTGGCTTGCCATGATAATTGTTCTAGTCACGATAATGGCGCTTGTCAAAATGCTTGGGTTGAGATTCCAACACGTCACCCTGCATTAGAGCCAGTGACAAAGCCACATCAAGTATTCTCGGCTTATGTAAAACAATAGCAGCTCTTATGTCATGATGCAACCCTTGGAGAAAGTTGCTAACAAAGAAAACATCATCTAAATGATTGTTATGCACCAGCACTTTATGCATGACAGTTTGGAATCTATCATAATAGTCCTGAACATCAGAGATTTGCTTAATGCTCAATAGTTCTTGCATAGAGTTGTGATAGATATCTTTCCCAAATTTAGACTCAATAGCAATACAGAGTTCAACCCAGTTATCCACCCCATGCTGTGCTTCATAGGTTTGTAACCATAAAGCAGCATGCCCTTTGAAATGGAGGGTGCCATACTGAGCCCAGCGATGCACCGGGACATTGAACATGTCAAAGTATTTTTCTACTTTTTCTTTCCAGACTTTTGGATGAGACCCATCAAATTTGGGAAATTAGGCCTTAGGCAAACGACATTCATTATGTGTAGGCGAAGTATGATAATGAACTGGGGAATTGGGGGTGGATGACTGACCATTGGCCAGGGGATGAGTGAGGATCAGAGTCCCCCCATGATTCCCCTATGGTGATGTTGCAGCGCCGTGGCCCATGGCCCGCCCCTCTTCCTCGCGCTTCGGGGCCGATGGCGGAGTGTTGTTCACTTCCAACGCCTCCACGCGCGACGTGAGAGTCTTGATCTCCTTGGTTAGCTCGGTGGAGAAGTGATCGACCTTAGGACGTCAACGATTGAAGGTCTCCATGAGTAGGAGCATGGACTTCATCTGCGCATCGAGCGCGTCGAGCTTTTCCTCTACGGTCGCCATTTGGGAGGTGAGGGTTGGTGGTTTGGGTTTGCGCGCCAGCGAGTGGGGTAACTGGGATGGAGGTGGTGGCGGATCGATCGGAAGTTGGAAATCGATCGGAGGCGGTGGTGGCGAAGTGGTTGGGGTGGAAGGAAAATGGATCGGCAGGGTGGAAAACTTGCTGGCACAGTGGAATCGGTGACGGTGGAGGTAGGGGAAGGAGGTGGTGGACGAATTGAACGGCGGCGAGGACGGATCGGGCGGCGGCGGAGATGGGGGATTCGGTGTATTGACCGCGCGACAGCTCTGGATTCAACCGTCGGCGACGGGATTTTACGAATCCAATATCAGCGACAGATCGGAAGGCTCTGGTACCAAATGTTACGATTCTGGTAGGATTGATAGCAATGCCGGCGTATACGCACGGCGAGCGAGCCTAGCGGCGCCGTCTCGACAGCAGGAAGGTCTCGGGAAGAAGAGAAACAGGAATTTGGTTTAGTGTATTCGCTGACCGCCCAACTGCCCACACAGCGAGTTCTTATCTGAGAGTGCAACAACGAAAATGGGCTAAGCCCAGGAATTACACCCCTGTGACATACAAGTCGGTTTACGGGCCCATTAGCTAGTGTAGCATAAACACTATGCACGGCATAAGGCCCATTCCGTGACATAAACACAATTCCAATTCAGTCTGGCTCAATAGAAACATGAGAATCAAATAAGGGAGACAAGGGGCCTGCACCCTAGAAGCCGGGCTAGAGCGGCCGAGCTCGGGAGGAGCAAGAAATCAAACAGGCCCGAAGACCCCGCCCGCGGCCCGCCGGACTCACAGCCTCACAGGTATCGAGCGGAAAGCCACGCGACGCGACGCGACCGACACTAGCGGCGAGCAGATGAAGCCGTGGCCGCGCCTGCTGACGACCCACGAGGTCACGATTCTTTCCGTCTCCTTTCCGTTGAACAGACAAGTGATCGGGCTCCAAACGGCTCGGCGACAGTCCAGATTCCGGCGCCTCCTCACCCGCGCCGGCCGGCCGGCCGACCGCAACGGCACGGCCTTCCAGGTTTGCCAAACGCCACGGTCCCACGCCCCGCCGTCCCTCGCTTCGCCGCGCTGAGTTAGACCTCGGCAGCCCGCTCGAGCTCGGGCTCGGCTTTGGTTTCGTGCCTTCCTGACACAGGATCACGATCGCCAACCAGGTACTCCGTACTCACGAGGTCTTCTGGTTTTTTTTTATAACTACGAGGTCTTCTGGTGGAGTTGGACCCTGCCGTGTACATACATACAGAAACCATCAAGTCAGAGCAGTCCACTCGGACCAGATCGCCAAACTAGCTAGACACCTGCCCTCCAACCACTTGAACCTCACCACCGTTGGTTAACCTGTTCCCTTCTGCTTCTGTATAAAGATGGCTTCCTCCAGAATGGCTTGCAGATTACATCAGTCATCAGGTTGGGGACTTCAGGCATGGCTGAAGAGATGTAAACTTTGCTGTTGCTGATTACGTCCTCCCAACAATAAGTACTCTGTTGACAGTTGATCAGAGCAAAGAAGCAGACAGACCAATTTCTTCTAGTATTATTTAGTTTATTAGACTGCAAGGTAGCAACCAACAAACCAGTCACTGATACATATATGATGACCAGGGCTTTGTTTGTTCTTATAGATCATACAGCACACCTATACTACCTGCATGCTATAAGGTATCCAGCCTTCTACTAGCTTTCGACTATTTAGACTACATTCTCTTCTCCTCGATTCACAAGCTTAATTTGCCCAATGGTTGTGACTTGAGAGGAACCAAACCACACAAGGAGCCACAGAGAACAGTATCTTTGCACCGACAGAGACATCAGTAAACTTCAGGTGCCTCCCTCAGGGGTACATTCATGCTGCTTTCCATCATTTGCCACCCAAGCGCAGAATTATCGCTTTGCATCATTGTGACAAACTCACCATAGTTGGCCTGGCCATCCTGAAAATTTACAGAATAAGAAGTTTACACACCAGATTGTCAGCAGGGATTTTTTTTTTCTACATGCTGTGTTTTTCCCTATATACATATTGTTCTGAGTCTTCACGAAACCATGCCTTAAATTAGTAGTATCGCTTCTAGTTCGTCCATTAGTACTCTGAAACGTCATCAAGTTTTTAAAAGAACCATCATATGCACCAGTATGATTGCTAGTGCTCCATCATATGGCCTGTTCGCTTCGCTGAAAAAACAAGCCGAAACACTGTTCCGACTGATTTGTTGTGAGAGAAAAACACTGTTCCGGTAGAAAAAACAAGCTGAAAAGTACGGATTATAAGAAAAGCGAACAGGGACATAGTAGTTACTTACCGCTTCCATGATATCACTAATCTCAATATTTTTAAACACTAAGCCACATTTCCTCAACCCTTCTTTAAGCTCAGCCAAAATAATCGCACCACTGTTTCCATTGTCCACTGCCTTGAACATTCCTCTTAACCTACCAATCTCCTCTTCTGAAAGATGCTTAGCAATAACCTGGGCCAAAATCAGGAAGATTCACAAATGCAAAATAAGTGAATTATTATGATATGGAATTGCCATGCTAAGTAGAGTACTTCAGGTTCTTCGAAACAAATGTAGAGTACTTCACATCCCATCTATCCTTGCAAAGCATCCTATGGAAATTATCTAAATCAACCTAGAATGGCAGATCAGACAAATGAAACCAAATAGTAAAAAGGTCTGATCAATTATTCTCTGAGCTTGGAAGCAAAAATGAAACACATAGGCCTGGTTTAGTTCCAAAAAATTTTCACCCCAAACTATCACATCGAATCTTGCGGCACATGCATAGAGTATTAAATATAGACGAAAAAAACTAATTGCACAGTTTGGTTGGAAATCGCGAGACGAATGTTTTAAGACTAATTATGCCATGATTAGCCATAAGTGCTACAGTAACTAACATGCTCTAATGATGAATTAATTAGGCTTAATAAATTCGTCTCGCAGTTTCGAGGCGAGCTATGTAATTAATTTTTTTATTAGTATCCGAAAACTCCTTCCGACATCTCCGAAACATCCGATGTGACATCAAAAATTTTCATTTCGCGAACTAAACACAGCCATAGATGACTGACAATATGTGCACCGACAACAATGATGAGTTGATGACAGATATATTAATACCTGAATAATGAAAAGCTTTGCATCAAATTTTAAGACACCCTGTAGAGAATTTCATGATGTTTACCATATTTTGGGGCGTTTTAACCTTTTATAGCAGGTAACAATGCTAGTGAAGTTTAAACTATAACATCACCAAAAGGATCCGTATTGGAAAAAAAGGTAATAGAAAACATGCATCTCCAATTTCTTTCCCAAAAGCCCTGATAATGCTTTACCATGATGCAAAAATGGAAATAACTTCTCCACTCCATGGCATGTAAGCATACCTGTAGAGCCAATTTTTTTGATTTATTCGCTGCAGATAATTTGTCGATACGAGAAAGAACAGTTGGATCTAGAGTTTGATGAGTAGCCACTCCATTATCACATATCCAAGGATGCTCTGAGCATTTAGAAAGAAAAGATCATTAAATCGTGAACAACTATTATCAATTCCTCGATCTTACAATAGTTAATGTGAATTTCCAGGAATAAATATCCGGTCAAAGTCATTCTAGGAAAAGCAAGACATGTGGATATAAGGTATTGAAATGAAAAAAAGTAATGTGCACAAGGGTTAAACGATACTAACTTAGAACTTCATGGGCTTTCAATCTCTCCGATGGACAAGGGCACAGCATTTTTCTTATAAGATCGTTTGCACTGTCTGAAATCCTGTGCCACTGGTCTGATTCAAAATCAAAATGCCCATCCCGCACTTTGTCAAGTACAACTTCATGTGTATCTGGAACAAAATTAAATGAGTGATGTGAGTACATCCAGAAAACAGCAATGAAGCTGTTGACATAAAAATGTGGCGATGTGATCAACACACAACAAGCCGGATAATCTTGATGGAGTGAGCCCGAAGACTTGTTTAGCTTCAACACAAGAATGGTTGGTTTCGGGATCAAAGGCGTGCCAGCCTGCAATTGACAAGGAGAGAATAATCAGTAGTTTAAGGTGGAATATGTCGATGTTGCACCAGACAGTTCCAATATATGGCCAAATAGCCGATTCAATGGGGCTATAGTCGAGCGTATTCATGGAATGAAGACATTTGAATCAAGGATTATCGGCTAATATTAAACGATAATGATACGAATCGAAATAAACGATGCTCATGGAACATCAGAAAACATCATCGGCTAAATAGAACATGATCGATATAAAATGTTGAGCTATAACTTTGATGAAAAGAGTATAACACGCGAACAAATCGACTGTCTAGTACAAATGAATCTACAAACGTTCTGAATCTAATCTGTTATCATCAACAGTGAGGTTCGATCGGATCGATACAGCTATGATAATAATAACAAACTAAAGCCAAAGAATCTATAAAACCATCTATATATTGACAGGTTCATGAAAAACATGCTATATGCGTGAAAACACAGGCGAATCAGCTAAAATAGCCGATGCATGCATAGCAAACAAACAGAGTACATATATCGACCGTGAACAAAACCACTAATCGATAATCTCTAATCCAAAGTCTTACCAGTGAGGTTCGACCGGATCGATGCAGCTATAGTTGTGTCATTAGAGTAGATCTTATTAACTAGTGAACTTACTCAAGATTGGAACATGTTTTTGAATGCATACTATGTTTGATTGGAATAGAGATAAAATAGCCGATCTAGCAGAATTAAGCCATCAATTATAAGATTCAAAGTGTGACCAGACTAGAAGACGACTAATTAAGATGATGTGATGCCGATTCTATCTCTATCTCAATCAAGTAATTTATTATAATTAATAAAACATTAATTATAACAAGATCGATATCTGGTGAATCAATAAAAAACAGCAAGAAAAATCTTACTAATCTTAGTAGATTCGATAACTGGTGATATTATGTTAAACAAGTTATTTAACACAAGATTGATAACTTTAATCTATATAATGGTTCGTAAGAGATCAATCAGCTGATGCAGCCTTACAAACAACAATATGAATCGATAACTAACTTTTACTACAACTCGTAAGAGATCAATTGGCTGATGCAGCCTTACAAGTAATAATAAAAGTCATGATGATACTCACAGACAAGCCGGAGGTCGATCAATCGATGCAGCCTTGCTTGTTGAAGAACTCACCGAGTTTCTACACTACTCCTACTCCTAAGGGTTGGCGTGAAGCAAAAAATATAATTGTATTGATTGATTAAGATTTGATCCCTTTACAATAGGCCGTACCCTTTATATTTATAGGGATGTTCCTGGCTTTGCATACAAGAATAGTCTAACTGGAAAAATCCTACAAAGTACAAGGACCCTTCATTAATCCTAAACTGCCAAATAATATCCCCTTGACCAACGTGTGCAAGGACTCCCCTCTATTGTAACACCCTCGGTGTTACAAAGTAAATTTTTTGCTAAAACACTACATGAGCATCATGTTTATGTGATAGTGTATGTAATATAGTGTGTAAATCAAATTATGTGACCCGAAACGTTCATCGAAAACGCGAAACGAAAGTTACATTCAATGTCGCGTTATATCACTTAGGGTTTTAAATGATTTTTTATTAAGCGAAAATGCTATATAATGTATATACGGAATTTGAGTAAAGTTAGAAATACTAACCGTGTAGGTGATGATGAAATACTTGAGGTTGCGAAAGGAATTCACTAGCTAGTATATCGAATAGCTTGGAAACCAAATTCGACGCAAATCTGATCGAGACTTAGTCGAATTTCCTAAGTCGGAAAACGGTTTGACAAGGCCAAGTTTGACAATTTTTGTAGGTGAATTAGATTAAGAAGTAGTGTAATTTCATGGCTGGTTTTAGTAGCTTGATATGCCTTCTTGAGTATAGAATAGGTGGTTCGGTGTTTGAAGTAACAAATTTGATTTTTTGGGGTGCTTTAAAAAGCGTGCAAGGCACGTTCCCGGCCACCTTCCGTGTCTGGACGCGGTCACCATGCCTCGGTTCGGCTCGGCGCCGCAGCACTGGCTTGCCCAAGCACGCACACCCACACTGCCGTTGTTGTGCCCTGGCACGTGACTCACGCACGCACACGCACGCCGCGCCCGGCGGGCCTAGTCGCTCTGCCACCACCGTCGTCGTCGTGGGCCCGCTGCCCTAGCCAGTCCGCTACCGCCCGCTTCACCGTGTCGCTGCCTGCATGCGTCGCGTCACTATGCTATTGCTAGCCGTGGTCGCGAGTGCTGAGTCGCCCATGTGCGCTCGCACTACTTGCGTCGCGTCCACCTGAGTCGCTCTGCCATCGCCATCGCGTCCGCCTGGCCGCTCTACCGCCTCGTGCTCGCCTACGTGGGACCATGTGTGCATGGCCGTCCTCGGTCTGGCCATGGCTAGCCTATGGCTTGGCTAGTCCTGACTGTTGTCGCACGGTGCCACAGTTGCTCGTCGTCGCGTCGTGATGCGTCCCCGGTCGCGCTGCGCTCCGACCGCCGGTCGCACAGCCACTGCTGTTGCTGATCCTTCACGGTTGTGCGCGCTTGGGCTTGCCCCGCCTGCCTATGCCATCACATGCGCGCTCAATGCGACACTGCGCTGCTGCCTCTCCCAGACCGGTGCCAGCCACTGCGGCGCACAGGGCCGAGCCGCCGTCGGTTTGCGATTTATGGCCATGAGGCCAACCGTTCCTGAGCATGTTTCGCTGACCCCCCATCGCCCTGTAGCATGTGCGCGCTTGTGCTACGAATTGACAGCCGTGTCCCACCATGGCAGCGACGAGCCAAGCCATGCCGGCTCTTCCCCTGTTCCTCTATCGCCATGGTCGCCGGACCCGCGCCTTCAATTCGGCTTGGCGAAGTCACCTCGGTCCAAATTAGCTTTGCCCGCGGCTTCATCGTGTAGTCAACCGGCCACCTGACCCCATCGTGCAATGATCCTTGGTGTGCCATGCTCCAATTTAGAGCTTTCTTTCCGCTGGGTCGTTAAGACCGTCTCGACACGCGTTGATGGCAAGGCCGCCACTCTAGAGCTGCTCGCGTTTGTTCCATTGCACCGCCAGTTTCGCCTCCACCTACCTATCACCTGACGTACCCTTGCCAAGTTGCTATCACCCTCTAGACGCCCTTGACACAGTCTTGCCACCACGGTGCACCACGTGGCCAGCTTGACTCGGGCCACCTCCGACCGAACTACCACCTTGACTGGGTCCATGGTGAGTGCCTGGAGCTCACTCGCTACCCTATTTACTCCGATGTTGTTGTAACTCACCGGAACGCCACCGTTTTGTTGTAGGAGCTCCGCCGCCGTGGTCCGGCTTTACTGCGGTGTCCCGGCTCGTGTTTTCTTCGCCCAGCGTCTCGCATTCGCGCCTAGGTAGGTACCGGCTCCTTAGATAGGGCGGGGAGGGTCCCGGGTGCCCGGCGGAGACCATCTGTGACACTGGCCGCCACGCCGGCGTGCGCAGCCAGGTCAAGGACCTCCCCGATGTGAAGATAGGTTGTTGCAGGGGCTGTTTTGCGTAATTGCAGACTGAAGGAATAGTGCGCTTAGGGCTCACGCTATTACTGGGTAGTCCGAGGGTGTTTTCGCAAGATGACCGGCACGCGCGGGCCTCCCCATCGCGTGCCATCGTCGCGCGGCTGGGCCGCGTCTGCGTGGGCCACGCTAGTGGGTCGCGTGCACGCGCACGCACGATGCACGAGAGTGGGCCGCACTACTTGCTTGTGGGCTGCGCGGGTGGATTCGGTTTTCCTTTTTCTAGTGAATTAGTAAAAGATTATTCAATTTAGTTTTGAGCTAAACTTTGAGAAATTATAGTAAATTCTATAGATGTCCAAAAATAGTGAAATAAAATTTGTTAGGTTCACAAAAATGCTATCTATCTGTTGGTGTAGTTAGTTTATAGTTATCTATGATAATGATAGACTCATTAATTCATTTAGAAAAGCTTAGTATTATTTAGCTTAATAATTATAGGAATTTTAGTGGCAAATTAGTGATAGCTTTAGCCATGAAATTTTTACAGTAGGTTCATTAGATTATTATGTACTCACTGTAATTTTTGTAGACCTTGAGTAGACTGATATATAGGGTAGCTAATACTCCTTGTTTTAGTATATATATAGTAAATCGGTATTAAGAGTAAGAATGACTTTAGTTGCTAAGATAGTACATGCCATGTTTCATACTTATTAGTGGTAACAATAGGTAACTTAGCACCTTAGTCGGTAGAACTAGCTTAGTAGCTTCATAGATGTATTTTATTTTAAGAGTTGTTGTTGCCATATTACTAAGTGTTGCATCATCATTTCATGCATGTAGATAATGAGTTGGTAGAGTTCGTGCCTGCGGGCGAACAGGAGTTCGAGGAGATCATTAAGGAGTACGAGGAGGAGATTCTCGTACAGGAGGGAGCCCCGGAGCCGTTCGTTGCTGACTCTGTTGACACATCGCCTACCCAAGGCAAGCCCCAGTGCATAACCCCTATTTTTGAATGATCATGGATTATATATATGTGATGTGCATTTACGTTACAAGCATTTTATGAAAACTATATGCATAGATATACTTACCTATGAGTCCTACTAGTATAAGTCGAGTAGCTGCTATGCTTAGGGTATCAGTAGCATGAGTAACCTACTGTTACTCACAATAGGTGAAAATTATGATCACTCATGATAAAATGGTGGAAAGGAAAAATGGAGACCGAGCTGGGATATGTTTTGGGTATTGGTGGGTGTAAGAGGTTATGTCCTACGGCCAATAGGACATAGCTTAGTTACACTTTTTCTCTGTCTATGTCGGTTAAGGACCGG